TTGAATCAAAGTTGGTAGCACACATTAATAAAAAAAATCAATATTTATAACATAACTAAATGTATTTTTGGTTCCACTTGTGTGAATGCTTTTGGGTCAAAGACCAGTCTGTGTTTTGTTGAATTGTTCGATGAATGAGTCTTGTACATACTCCATCGTTCAGAATGTCATATATAGCCAACTGCAGAGGGGGAGATTGTCCCCTCGAAATCAAGCTGAATAGAATACATTTAGAATACATGTATCTTAGATTAATCTCCTTCGCATTAGTGTTGAATCAAGCCTATCATAGACCATGGACCTAACATACATAGACTGATAAGACTTGGTGGAATATATACTGTACATAATAAAACACCCACGTCAAAATTAAACTGCTCACATTTAACAATAAGAATGTACAATTATGCACGATGGTTCGGATGACATTAAACGTAATCTAAAAGTCTGTAAAATGTGAATCATCAGTGAATCATTTGTTTTACGGACCACAGCATATAATTTCGAAAACATTAATTAAGCAATAAATAAATTTATTGACAAAACACTGACTTTGAAAAGTACAGTAGTATAAGGTCGCTAAAAAAACTACAAGACAATCAAAAAATTAGATTTACAAATTACAAGATTCACTGCCATTAAACTTACAAAAACTATACTCCTAATATAGGGTGCTGCAGTCTTATTTTAATGCTATATTTAAAAATACTGTGGCTAAGCTAGTCTGACAAGAGGTGTTGCTGTCAAATAATAATTTTTTTTTTTCATAAATTTGGCCAATGCAATACTCGTCGCAATGTTTTTATTTATCCTTATAACACTACAACAAAATATAACATCATTTTAGTAAATAGTAATAATAATAATATCTTTATTGGATCCTTAGAAATAACATTTTCTATTGGTTAATAGCAATATGTATACAAAATGAATGTACCCGGTAATAGTAAAGTCAGTATTGCAAATCAAGAGAATGCTCATTTCTTAAAATGAAAGAATTGTGAAACAATCATCTACATGTATTTTTGTCACTACTTTTTATTAAAATAATGAATTTCTGCAGATTGGTGATTTTTTTTCTTTTGGGAATATATTATTGGTGAGAGTTTCTTTTCGGTGAGTTTGGTATTTTGGACATACCAAAAGGAAGTGTATTTCTTAGTCTATATCATGCTATGAACAATGTCTACAAATCCTATTTTCTAATGGTGTTTTGGGATGGGCGTGTCTTCCTTTTCAATGGCTAAAATGTGATTACTTGTAAATATGCAAGTAAGTTAGTAAGTTTGTTGTCTAAATATACAAATAATAACATTATGGCCAATCGCACGCGATAGCTTCGGTCTATTTATCTTCGTTAATATTTTTAAATTATGTGTTTCTTTTTCCATTTATATAAGTATGTGTTTTTCTAGTAATTTTATTGCAGCTTCTAATTACTTATTTAGTGAGCCCCTGATGTAAAAGGGTAGTAATAAATAAATAATTAAATAAATAAATAAATAAATAAATAAATAAATAAATAAAATAATACAACACGGTTACTTTAACCATAGCTGCAACAAAATGGTACATTCGATGTCTGTTCGTCGAAAATTTTGCAATCTCAAAAAAATACGATATTTCTACAACTTCAAAACAAGGTCGCGCGTATAATATCCCGTACCGAAACCAAATTCGCACCAACCTAATCTTATTCGAATCACAGTCCCTCTATCACTATGATAGAGGGACTGTGCTCGAACTATGTGGGCTCCGATGTCCACGCTTCATCACATGAATCAGGTGACTTATGTATATATGGTCAAAGGTGAAACGAGTCGGCCTCGCCCAAGATAAGCTTCACGCTGGATTTTTTAACGGTTTCCTGATGATGATTACACAGCGTATTTCGAAACTTTGCTAAATGATATTGCATAATGATTTAGAATACGATAACTTAACCAGACGACGACGTTTAAAACAACGATTCATAAAAACGAAATACTAGGGCTGAGCTATCAATTTACATCCGGGTATCGCCGTGTCGCCAATGTCGAATACAAAATGGCGGCGGAGGGAGGAGGAAAAGACGAAGTGAAAACTCAGTTTACTACTCGAGAGGGTACCTACAAACTTATGACTCTTTCAGAATACTCAAGACCAAATAGAGTTCCCTATAGTGCTCAAAGTTGCAATCCTGTGAAAGTGTCTTTCATTAACGTCAAGGATCCGAGTGGCGGCGATAGAATTTGTTTCAATGTTGGCAAGGAACTGTATTTTTATATCTACAAGGGTATACGAAAGGTAAGCAAAATGACAATTATGTGTCCTAATGATATTGTTTTCATCCTCGTACCATGTCCCTTCGCCTGTTCGGCCTTGTTATTAAATATAACAAGTCGGTCGTCGTTAATGTCTGTCGCCCCACGAGTCTACAAATCTACCCTGTGTTGTGTAAACAATTAGCTGGCATCAGGTTGGCCTATAATAAACCACTATGTCTCCAATGTTTTCATTTGAATACAATTAATTAAGCCCAAACCAGCAAAACAGAGCGCTTACCTAAGAAAATATTATGAACATTTGCTTGAAAATTGTTTGTTGATACCAATGTTTTATTCATCATAGGTACCATGCTTTAAAAAGATATTTCAGCACTTTTATCCTCTCAAAATTATATGCTCTCTCCCCACATTGGGCGTGTTGTTTAACTATTTAGAAAAAAATACTTGTAAAAACTAGTTTATGGATTCATTTGCAGTTGATGTTCTATATGTGATGATTTTCCTCACTGTATAATGTTGATACACCACCTGTGTATTTGGATGTGGAATGGTATACATGCATACTGTTGTGATAATATGCCAAATCACAGAATGTAATTTTTAGGAATGAATTCCTTAAGGCACTCTCACCCCCCTAACCTGTACCCTAACACTCCAGTATCCAAAATAATTCCATATGCCCCCTTCAAATAACTATAAGTGACCCGAAGAGGGGTATACATGTATAATGGAAATGGAGGGGCAGAGCTAGTTATGATTATAAATTATGGGGGAGGGGGCCCTAAGGAACTCTTACCAATTTCTAAACTGGATTAAGAATTAGCATTTTATGCACAATTTACGTCACCTAACCTGTAATCATAGACACTATTTTCCGTTATGCTAGTGTTATGTGTTATTCTGGTTCTAACAAGCCTCGGATTTTACCGGGACAGAAAAATACTACACAATTCTTATACAATCCCTGCTCGTCAGAGACTGAAAAACAAGTTCATGGCTGTTAAAATGGTTCCAATGTTTGTCAAAGAACATGCCCTGATCTTGTTTTCTGCTGTGTGTCTGTATTCTCCATGCCTGACAGTGTTTCTGAATATGTCCTTGTAACAGTCAGCCCTGGAGGAGGGGGGGGGGGTTGCAAATGACAATTTCACAATATATTGTCAATCAAACCAGTAAAACATCATAGAATTCAGGATTACTGAATTGTTATCGTTTGTGTGCTTCTCATAGTATGTGACCTGAGGTTAACAAACTTAAAGGTAGGACCACAGGGAGTTGGACAAACTTATGTATTTTAATAAATTATTAAATAATAAAATGTTATATAACTTTTCTTTTACCCCCCTTCCTGGTATCGATTTCAAGTAATCACTGATCTTTGTTTATACCACTCTTTCCTTTATAGTACATCTTCTTTTCTTATGCTATCATCTGCCAGTCCTTGCATATACAGGGCCAGCCGTGTGTAGTTTAACTGTTATTTTTTACTGCCATTGAAGAGCTTCCCCAGCTGACAAATTAGCTAGCTGTTTGCTTCTAATGTTAAGCCTGCAGTCTCTGGCACGAAGAAGTGTTCTGAAAAGTGAGCATACAACATTTAACCGCAGAGTAGCTGTTTTGATTTGTTATTCTTTCAGGCTGCTGACCTGACCAAGCCAATTGAAAAAAGAACTTATAAAGGCACAATACCAACTTGTCATGATTTCAACCAATTTACATGTTGTAGTCAAAGTGTGTCATTATTAGTTGGTTTCTCAGCTGGACAAGTGCAACTTATAGACCCTATCAAGAAAGATAATACTAAGCTTTTCAATGAAGAGGTGAGTTACTATGATATAATTAACTTGCTTGTTTGATTTTAAAAATCAAATTGCTTGTCAACAATGGTAAAAGCCATTAAAACTTGAAATACCAATTCATACTGGTTTGACATCTAAATTATCTCAGATTTGAAAAAGGAGAAATTTCTCTTTCTAAAAAAATTTTGAATTATGAATATATTTCTAATGAGTCATCATGGCAACCATTGTTCTTGTGTTTATTTTCATTTTTTAGTCCCAATTTGGACGCAGTTCGAAAACAGGGACTTATGTTTTGACCCTTGTGCGTGTGTGTATCTCAGAAATGCCTGGACCAATCATAATCAAACTTCACACATACATCATACATGATATTATACATGCACATCAATTTGTTTCACGATCTGATTCAAGATGGCCGAATTGCAGTGATTTTGTGCTAAAAAATCATCAAAATCAAGCATTTCTCGGCTGTTTACAGATGGATTATGTTCAAACTTGGTATATACATTAGACATTAATGGGACCTTGATGCAAATAATTTTGTTTTTCAGAAAAGATTCAAAATGGCCGACTGGTGGCCATTTTGTTTTAATGAACTCTTTAACTGATTATGTTCAAATTTTAAATATTCATTATACATCATGTCATAGAAAGACATATTGGTTTGACGATCCTAATCAAAATGGCCGAATGGTGGCCATTTTTTGTGTTGAAAAATCATCAAATATCAAGCATTTCTGGCATTTATGGATGGATTTCGTTCAAACTTATAACATACATTAGACATTACTGGTTCATGATGCACGTTATTTTATTTTTCAGATCGGATTCAAAATGGCTGACTGGCGGCCATTTTGTTTTAATGATTGGGCTTCTAGAACCATATCTCTGACATGCTTTGACTGATTATGTTAAAATTTTATACATTTGTTATACATCATGTTATAAATATATACATGTATTCAAAATGGCTGATTTTGTTTTAATTAATGCTGTTCCAGAGCAATATCTCTCAATATGGACAAGTACTTGTTTGACGATAAGATACAAATGTCAATCATTTTAATGTTAAACAATTATCATAATCATATTCCTGACATGATTATATTCCAGCTATATTACTATAAACAAAACTGTATATCTTAAATTTGATAACTAACGAGGACTGTGCCATGCATGGCTTGTTAGCTCTTCTATTGATTTAGTCAATAGATGGAGATGTACATATAAAGTGCTATTTTCAACTACTTCTTGAAAACTGCAATTGCAGTTGGATATACGACCTCCATAAGATTCGTAACAAGATAATAACAATTGTATTTACATTGACATCTACAAAATTTACTACCATAGTAGTGATATGGCAAGAACACTAATAACCATGGCAAATACCGGTAGTTAATTATCAACTTCATTTTGAGGAAGTATCTACAGTGATATGTTGAGTTCTCTAATTTTAGTGAAAATTGTTGTCATTTTTAGTAACTATACAGCAGAGCTATATCAGCCAACAGGCTGCTTGTTTATGCGTCTATTCAAAACATTGGTTAGTGTGCCAATTTTTTAAGATGGATTCGGAAGGAAAGTTGTCAGAATTTTCTAAACATTGTTTTCATGGTAGGATTGTGTGCCTTTGTTGTCAAGTTTCATTTTGAATTCATGCTTAATATGTAAATTATATATAGCCATGATTCCCAGAAATATTCATTCATTCATTTGCAATCTTATTACGACATGTGTCCTAGTAATTGAACAGAAAATAGTCTTGGACTTTAAAAAGAGTGACAAATGAATTCAGTCTGTTTTACTATGCTGAGTTCAATTTGTATAGCTTTCCATTCAAATAATTTTAATATTTTGATTATTCAACTTTAAACTTTCCTGACAAACATTAAAACTGATAAAAGCAAGCAATATGTTATGTGTTTCCAGTACATTAGGAATTGGTAAGTCTCAGAGTCTCAATGTTGAAATCCATGTGCCCTCTTTGATAGTTTACATCAAAATACATTCACAATTGAACAGTTGAAACCCAAACACCCATCATACTAAATTAGTGGATAAGTATCTCAATTTCACAATCTTTAAAGTTCCGATTTCTGATAAACACAGCCTTAATTTCTACCAAATCTTCATGTGTTTTCTAATAAATAATGAGCATCAGTTTCCTTACTGTCACACATTTGCTATTTTATGTAAATATTTATTGCAATGCAACATTTTTCAGGCAATTAGTAAGCTCCTATTTGATGCTACAGTGAGTGACTTTGATGCGATGTAACATTGTTGTCAATGAGGCAACAATGCAACATTGATGCAATGTGACCATACAAACATGATGTGATGCAATGTGAATGCAACAATGAAGACTTCACTGTACAATTCAATTGCCCAGGGTGGATTTACAGCAGAATTGAGTACAAGAATGGATTATAATAATGTTTGCTAACTTTAAGGTAGCGAGATAGTTTTTTGGCATGGAAAATGTAAACATCTATAATCGGAGTAAATTTTACAAGAACCTATACAATCTATATATGTTTGGAAAGCCCTTGACTTGTACTTTTCTATTATTAATATTTTGTGAACACTGTGTTTGTTTTAGCGTCACGTGATTCTGAAAATCGGCGCGGCTGATAATTAACTAACGTGAATACATTTTTAAATGTCAGCTCTACGGTCATGCATGCGGCCAAAAACTTTACATTGTTTTGAAGCAAAGGTCATG